TTTTCAGGGATTACACGTAATTCCTGATTATTTCACTGATTACGTGAAATCTCCGAGTGAAACAGAGATTACGCGTTTTCACTGAAATATTCAGTGATTACACGTATTCACTAGGAACGCGTTCTTACTGTAACATATATATATATAATATATACAATGTATATATATATCTATATACATGTAAACCCTTCTGTGTTTACTGCAGCAAATCATTTTTGTGTTTCAGATGTGTTAGATCTAGATCAAATAGGTCTTCTTTTCGAGCAAAAATATGAATCTGACGCTTTCAAAACAGGGCAAATGGAGGTAAACATAAAGGGAAGGTACCCCAGTAATAATTACAAGATTTTAGCGGTAACTTCCCTTATAATTGACATCAAATCAACCACTGTCACAGTCCCGTAAATTCTACGGGCCAAATTAAGGCACAGTGCTGCACGGTTCAGGTCCGTAAATTCCACGGGTGCGGCAGTGAAGAGGTTAATCAATGATTTTCAGAAAAATCAATATAGAAATGTGTTTTTAAATGGGCATGAAAGGTGTTTGAGCCAAAAACAGAAAATAAAAAAAAAACAAAAATATATTGCCAAAAGCCTAGAACAATGCCGGTTGTCTTTGATTTCATTATTTTAACGAGGGCCTGATTTTACCATGATGCCTCAAGTACGTGTATGTATGTGTGAGTGTGAGTGTGAGTGCGCGTGTTTATGCAGGAGCGCGCGCGTCTGTGTGTGTACTTGTGTGTGTCTCATGTGTGTGTATTTTTATCTATGTGTGTGTATTTGTGTATGTATGTGTGTGTTTTTACCTGTGTGTTTGTGAATTTGTCTTTGTGTGTGTGTGTTTTTACCTGTGTGTGCTTTTTTGTAACACGGTGTTTTGTCTCTCCCCCCCCCCCCTTGTGACAGGCTACGCCGTGGACCAAACGGGCAGCTACCTGGTCCCCCTCACCGCCCTGGGCTGGATCTCTCTGGCGTCTGCCATCGCCCTGGCTGCAGTGTTCAGGATAAGTCAGCGGCGCACGTCAATCTCACGTGGAGCCACGCCCCTTGTGATGTCAGAGGGGAGGAGCCGGGAAGCCACGCCCCCTGTGATGTCAGAGAGGAGGAGCCTGGAAGCCACGCCCACTGTGATGTCAGAGAGGAGGAGCCTGGAAGCCACGCCCCCTGTGATGTCAGAGGAGGGAAGCCCGGTGCCTGATTCGTCCACAAAGCCAGTCAAAGGGGATGAGATCGATGACGTCAGTGTTGTGGACAGTAGAAACATAACGCCAATGGCCGACTCCACCAACCATGTATGTGCGTGAACTTTGATTCTCAGAAAAGAAAAAAAACCCCAGCAAAAACTAAATCAACGTAGACCAATATATATACATATATCATGACATTTTATTCTCACTGTTTACCGGAATTGCTCAAAACTTTATCTTAAGATCTCTTTCTACTATTTCTACATAGAATTTAATTATTATAAGTGTATTTTTTAAAATTGTCATCATCATCATCGTCATCATCATCATCATCATTGCCTTTCTCACCCTGCACCAGGGATTTAAAATTGTACTATTACTATCACTAATAGTACTTATGGTTGTGGATAACTTAATTTGTGACAACAAAAAGTTCAAAAATAGTTGTGACATAATTTTGCTAATGCAATAAAGTGCATCATTGTAACTTCAAAGAAATACATCATGTATACAATAGGCAGGTTTTCACGATAAAGTCATAATATAATAGATAGCATTTTTATAGCGCAAAGGCAAGCTCTATGCGCTTCACAATCTATACTATTACCCCAGCAGACCTGAGAGCATTCTGAAACAAATTCAACATCCTGGGAAGCATACAATGCAAGCAGACATTTATAGGCGCTAAAACACTAACATACTGACAAGATCTTTCGCTGTCTATGGCCGGGGAAAAATTAATGTAAAGTGCCTTTCCCAAGGACACAACATCAGGCCCGCGGCTCGAACCCCCCGACCCCGCAACCTCCCGATTATGAGTCCGGTAGCCTAACCACTAACTAGGCCACCGACGCCACTTTAAATGATGATGTCATGCATGTGCATGCAACTTTCAATGCCGAATTTGACATCAGTTTTTAAAGTTCAAATATCACATTCAATCATTGTACCTTTAAATGAGCATTCTTCTTGTTCATGGTTTCTAAACACGTTTTTCGCGAAGATGCCATATTGAAGCTCATGTTTTGGTGTGTGTGTGTGTGTGTGTGTGTGTGTGTGTGTGTGTGTGTGTGTGTGTGTGTGTGTGTGAATACAAAGGCGAATCATATACATGTATTTCCACAGTATAGCTATACGTAATACCTTATTAATATATGTGTAAAGCAGCATGGTGAAGTCAGGTGTTCGTCAAAACAGGGAGAGCAAAGAAACTGGCATGTTTCTGGACATCGGACAATTTTTCTTTTAATTTTCTTTTTTTAGCTCAACACATTTCATGGCCTTTTAAAAACAAATTTGTGTGTGGACGTCATAGTAAAACGAATAACGCAGGCACCATTTTCCTATAATCTAAGGACACTAAAGCTTTGAAAGTCACTAAACTTTGGCAGCCATTTTCTTGCTAATTTTTACCTCTCCCACCAGGCTACCCCCACCTCCTTCAATCGCAAATATCTCAACTTCTATTCCAGATAAATGGGTATTTTTTTCACCAAGAGCAAGATAAACGAACAAGCTTTAAGATGATACAAATAACTCCACTTGCCCAAAAATTGATGAGCGCCTGATTCCACAGCTTCGTGACTCAAACTTTGTATCACCTTAAACTTAAAGCTTTTTCATTTGTTTTGCTTTTGATGAAAAAAAAATCAGTTTATCTTTAATTGAAATCGAAATATTTACCATTGAAATAGGTGGGGGTCGCCTGGTCTCTGAAGTAAAATTAACTAGAAAATGGCCCCCAAAGTTTTGTTATTTGCTTAGCTTGAGAGTCTGTGGAAACAGTGAACTTACATTTTTTTATACCTTTTATAATGTTTAGTTGTTTTATAGGTCCAGTTTATAACACACAGCAGACAAGATGACGAAGAGTATAGAAACAAGAGTGAAGGCATTGATGGTGAAACTCAGACTGCTCGTTTTTTGTTTTTTTAAATTGTTCTTTAATATGCGCCAAAACCAATGGCCAGCATTGTTTACATGCTACTATGCCAGGTTGGCATGGGTAGGCTAAATGGACATTACACCTTTAATGGACGTTTTTCAGTACAATCCACTTAGAAATATGTTTTTTTATGAACTTGGAAGGTGGTGACCTAAAAAATAAAAATCCAATAAAAATTCCAAAACCCCAGTTTCTTCACTTTCATTAATTTGACCACCGCCTGATTTCACCACACTGCCTCATATATTAAATATTTATATATATATATATATATATATATATATATATAATGTGAGGCATCGTGGTGAAATCAGGCGCTCGTCAATTTTGGGGCGTATGGGGTATCATCTTAAAAAGCTTGTTCTCTTGTCTTTCTTTTGGTAAAAAAAAATACCCATCTATGTTGAATAGAAGTCGAAATATTTGCCATTGAGGGAGGTCAGAGTTGCCTGGTTTCAGAGGTAAAATTAACGAGAAAACGGCTAAAGTTTGCCGACTTCCAAAGTTTGAGAGTCCTTAGAAACTGCAAATTTACATTTTGTGCCTTAAATCAACATTTTTCAGTAAAATCAACCCAGAAATATGTTTTTAAACTGACCGTAAGTCATGTGTTGAGTCAAAAAACAAAAAAATCAATAAAAATTGTCAAGCGGACAGAAAAATGTTATTTTCTTCGATTTCATTATTTTGTTGAGCGCCTGATTTCACCATTATGTCTCATATATTATATATTATGTATATATATATGTATATAATATATGTAATAAAATTACGTCTTTCTTTACAACATACATCATGTACTCTCCTAAGGCCTACCATTATCCAGGGACCTGTGAATTTTTCATTTACAAGTGCTCAGTTTATTTGTTGGTGTTACAATTGTGCACAGTTAATTGGTGTTGGTGTTACAATTGGGCTCATTTTATTAAATGTTGGTGTTACAATTGTTGGTGTTACAAATGTTGGTGTTACAAATGTTGATGTTACAATTGTACTCAGTTAAATGTTGGTGTTACAATTGGGCTCAGTTAAATGTTGGTGTTACAATTGTGCTCAGTTAATTAAATGTTGGTGTTACAATTGTGCTCAGTTAATTAAATGTTGGTGTTACAATTGTGCACAGTTAATTGTTTGTGTTTTTCGTTCCTAATCACACAATCAAGATCATTTAGGAGGCGGGCTTCATCCGTGCATATGAGACCTAACCTGGGCTGACTGAGTGTGATTGGGGTACAACGTCCAGGGAGACAGAGCGCGATACTCCATAAAAGATTCTCCTCATTTGGTACATAAATCGAATTCAGGTCTTCCACGTGCAACGGAGAAATGCCTAACACTAACTGCTACACCATATATACCAGTGCCATAAAGTCAGCGCCATTCCTCAATCATCAAAGCTTATCATCTGATTCCAAGATCGATTCCTGTAAGCACAGTAGAATTGTAATTGTGAATGGGCTGATTCATTAATGTCATGCTCATCATAACTGTGCCTGAACTGCAACACGGAACTGCTGCTTTTTCTTTCCATTATATTCCTTACTATTGTCATTTCATTTTCCTCTACTTCTTTTGTATCAGTTTGTCACTCTCTTGTGACCCGCCATTTCTGGGGTGCCTTAATAGTCGAAGCAGACTTTGTGCTGTTGAAGCTAGAGAGGGGAGCAGAGTAAGTCTGATTCCTTGTAAGGACTTCTCTGTTGACATCCACCCTTTGGCGCTCATATGACCTTATGCAGAGTCGAAGTGCGGTAAAGCCTTACTAAAACAAAAACAGGCAAAATTTGAATGATAAAAGAAAGAAATCAAGAGGGTACATCATGTATTATTGATAAGCTTATTCTATACTGCAACGTGCCAGGATCTGGACGATTAAGATGTACCGTATCTTATTGTATCTTAGCTTATCTCATCCATTTTATATTATCTTATTTTATAACTTTCCTTTGCTTCCTATGGCTGAGTGGTTAGGAAGTTCAGACTCACAATAAATATAATAATAATAATAATAATTGCATATTTATATGCGCATACCCACGCTCAAGCGCATGCTCTATGCGCTTTACAACTATTACCCCAGCAGACCCTCTGAGAACACTCAGAAACATTCTCAGCTTCCGCGGAAGCATACAGTGCAAGCTGCGGATTTCACGCGCTCAAACACTATCAAACTGACAAGATCGTTCACTGTCTATAGCCGGGTACCCATTTCCACCTGGGTGAAGTGAGGAAAATTTGTGCAAAGTGCCTTTCAAAAGGACACAACGACGGGCCCCTGACGGGATTCGAACCCACGACCTTATGGTTGCGAGTCCGAGAGCCTAACCACTAGGCCATTGACGCCACCTATCATGTATATAAAGCTTGTGTCGGTGGCACGGCGTTTAGATTATAATAATATGTATGAACTGGGGTGCCTTGTCCTTGTACAATCATGATAACCATACTTTAAAAAACCAAAAAAACTATCTAAAACAAAAAACAGGGGGTTGCACACAGTGACGACCAGCCATGACATGTTTGTAAAATTATTGTCTGTTTTGGTGTACTATTGACCTTGCGTATTGTGGTATTCTCTGTTATATTATTTGTGTGTTTAGATGTAATACATTTGCCATTGTAATTCAATATTTCACCACAGGGATTGCTGTGAAATATGATAGGTTTTTAAATTTAAAATATTTTAAGTTTAGTAATATGTATACAATTAAACATTTCCTTCCTAGCTTTTAGTGGACAAAATAATACGTGCCCAAATCATAGTATATTTATTTTGTTGTGCTTAAAAAATATATAAAATTATACACCTGTGTACCCATACTTTTTTTCTTTGATTTTCTCAAACTTTCAATTTCTCCAACTTTCAAAAAAAGAATGTGATTGTGGATTGACGGTGACAATAAATACAGTCCCGTCCATTCATAACAGCATCTGTTATTACAGGAACTTGGATATATATATATTTTTTAATTTTTTTAAAAATTTATTTATTTA